CACCCTGCTCATCCCACACACACACACACACACACACACACACACACACACACACACACACATTAACAATTATACAGCAGTAAAAACAATAGCTCTGTCATAAAACCTGATGAAAAAATGTTTAGACATCATAGGCACAGTGTTATTTTAGTATTTATATACGGTTATATTTTTTTTTATATTTTCCATTTTTGTTTTAATTTCAGTTTAAGTTTTAGCTATTTTATTATGCTTTTGTAATTGAAATTAGTTTTCAACTACAGTTGTTCAACTTATATTTAAGTTATATTTAAGTTTTTTACATAATATTTATATTTTATTTAATCTTCATTTCAGTTACAATTTTAATCGTTTTAGTATTTTACAATAGCAACATTGCAGTGGCATGCTTTTGATGTGAAGTTTTATAAACTATCAAAGTGATTACATCGCTGAAGTTCGTCATTTTGTAAATGTTCGCCTAAGACCCCCAAGTAAACTCTTTTTGTTAATTCTCATTACTAGCCATCTCTGTCACTTATGCTGCTTCAAATCATCCATTTTCACCAAAAATGAATGACTTTAGGCCACTTTCCTGCTTCAAATTGCAATATTAAAAAACTTAAATTTCAAATTGCGTTTAATACAATCCCAGAATCCCCATTGCAACGAGCTCAGTGAAAATGTGCATTCAAGAAGGCCAATAACAAGTTTTGTTAAAAATAGTTCCATTTAATATATACTGAGAATGTTAAATCTTAAAGTTTGTACATGGAACGTTAATGGTATTCATTCACCTATTAAGAGAAGAAAGGTTTTAACTTATTTAAAAAAGGAGGGGGTACATATCGCTTTACTTCAGGAGACCCATTTAAATGATCAGGAACATTCTAAGCTATCACAGGGGGGGTTTGGTCAGGTCTTTTTCTCATCTTTTACTTCCAGGAGCAGAGGCGTAGTTATTTTAATTAAGAAAGGTATGCCATTCCAATTAGTAGAAGTTCTTAAGGACACAAGAGGGCGCTATTTAATTGTGAAGGGGTTATTATATGGGGAAGAAATTGCTTTTATGAACATTTATTGGCCTCCTGGCCATCAGAGTGATTTTTTGACTACAGCTTTTGCCAAATTAGCAGACTGGGGAGTTAAAACATTGTTTATTGGAGGAGATTTTAACTGTCATTTATGTCCCATTATAGATAAATTCCCAACAGGTAAACCATTATTATCAACTCAGGCTAAAACTGTTAAGGCTCTTTGTGAAGACTTTGACTATGTAGATATTTGGAGGGCCTGCCATCCTGCAGAACAAGAGTATACTTTTTTTTCTAGGGTCCACAGTTGCTATACTAGGATAGATTTTTTTTTTTCTCCGAAAAGTATGTTGGAGCATATAATGTCCTGCCATATAGGGAATATATCTATATCTGACCATGCAGCAGTTTTTGCCGAATACTCCTTTGGGAAACAAAATACTAAGTCTAGTAGCTGGAGATTTCACCCATTCATTTTGGCAGACCATAATTTTATATCATATTTTACAGAGGAATTTAACTCTTTCATGTCCATTAATTCTGCCTCAACTGAAGACCCATCTTTATTATGGGAAACAGCCAAAGCCTTTTCTAGAGGCCTTATTATAGCATATACACTTTTGTAATGTTTGAAAATTAATAAATATATATAATAAAAAATAAAAAAATAAAAAAAATAGTTTCATTTAATTAAAATTTTCACCTAATATATGTTATGCAATTTTGTTTGTTGAGTGACATGCTAACATCAGACTCTACTGCAATACTTTAATAAGCATAAAAAATGTGCGGAGCATGGCCGTGATCTAATGAGAACCAATTACATTCGAGGTACCATTTTAGCCTTAGAAGACCTATTTGTTAGGATACTGTAGTAGAAATCAAGGCAGCTCACCAGGTTTTGAAACGGAGCTAATGTGATTGATCTAGAAATCTTCTGAAATATTCACGAGGATATTACATTAAAATGATGCGTTTTGATATTCAATTCAATTTGATATTCAATCTGTAACGGAGATAAAGGGACTCACAGAATCTGCAGAGCAGAGATCTTGTCTTTTAGCAGCTCCTGAGCTTTGTTAAAATCTGACAGCATGATCTGGGTCTCTCTGTTATGAGAAGCGTTCAGCTCGTCAATCTCCCTCTCGAGGCGCTTAGAGAGATCCTGTCCATGAGCCCTACATAAAATAAAATCATTTAACATATGCAAAACAGTTGGTCCATTTACACACAAATCAGGGTTCTTTATTGGCATCTATGGTTCCATAAAGAACCTTTAACATCCATGGAACCTTTCCATTGCACAACAGCTTCTATAGTGGAAAAAGGTTCTTCAAAATATTAAATGTTCTCCACACTCAGAAAGAAAAGGTTCTTTTCAAAAACTGTTTGCTGAAAGGCTCCCAAAATGGTTCTTTACTGGCACTGCTGTGAAAACCCCCTTTTAGAAGTTTTATTTTTAATAGAGCAAACACTCCGGACAACAAGTACATTCAAATTTATTTCCCTCTTAGGCGCACAAGCTCACTTATTTATTACAACAAATTCCCTCAGTTCCCCAAAGAATATAATCTCTTTTCATGAGCCAGAAATGAACTCATTTTGAATGAAACCAAATGAAATTTGTTTGTATATATCTGCCAGACACCTCCACTGACCTTGACACATTTATATCGCTGGAACAGAAGAATAAGATGATAATGAATCAGAGAGCTCTGTCTGAAGGCTGTGGGCTTCTGCGTGGGAAATAGCTCCGTCTGCTTTCTTCTCACATTAAATTAGCTTCTGGTTCAGCTAGACTGACCTTTAGGATTTTATAATTTAATAGCTGATGAAAGCCAAAAAAGATTCTACACACGCATAAGATGTCAGTTGCTCTTTTTTTTTTTTGCATAAAATGAGGCTACCAAAAACCGGCATAATGGTAATGTTCACCATTTGTATTCTAACCTTAACATGAAAGTATTACTGTGAGCACTGCAATTTCCTGTTTCTTTATGTTTCTGGCCTTTCTGGCATTTTATTGACAGAGATAAGTAGAGAAGACAAGAAGTGATGAGGAGAAAGGGTAAAACGCGATCAAAAGGTGAAGCGAGACCGTCATTTCATATATTAATAAGTTGGTACCTGATATGCAGATTGGCCTCACTGCGCACTCGCAGAACTTCCTTCCCTTTGAGCTCCAGCTCCTTGGTCAAGATGCTGATGGTCTCATTGAGCGAATGGATTTCATGGTCCAGATCGGCGATCCGGTTCTTCCTGCAGCTCACCTCCTGCCTCAGGCCAGATATACGCCCTAGGAGGTCTTGTTCCTGGAGAGGCAATCCACAAAAATGTTAAAACCTATAT